GGTAGGAGGATCACTGCAGCCCATTTCAAGATCAGCCTGGGCAATATAGCTAGATTTCATCTTTATAAGAAATTTTTAAAAATTAGCTGGGCATGCACCTGTAGTCCTAGCTACTTGGGAGGCTGAAGATGGAGGATCATTTGAATCCAGGAGTCGAGGCTGCAGTGAACCATGATTGAGTCACTGCATTCTAGCCTGGGTGACAGAGCGAAACCCTGTCTTAAAAAAAAATAAATTAAAAAGTGTGAATTGTATGGTGTATTTATTATATCTCAGTGATCCTTAAAAAAACTATAAACAGAAGATGTAGGTCATCATATATATGTTAGAATGAAAATGACCTTTCTAAAAACATGGTATCAATGCTAGAAACCAACCAGTGTACAAAATATTTCATATAAAACACACCATTTTACATTCAAATTTTCTGTTTTTCTATTTAAAACATATATTAGAGTTTTGTCTTTTCTAATTTATTAATCTTTGTCTTTCAGTTGAAGAAATTAATACTTTTAAACATGATATAACTAGTTAATCTAGGTTTAAAAAGCAAAATAGGCTGTTAGAAGATAATGTCAGCAAATATAATCTTGAGCTAGGAAATGGTCTCTTTCGTTTTTTTTGTTTTTTTTTTTGAGTTGGAGTCTCACTCCATCGCTCAGGCTGGAGTGCAGTGGCACTCTCATGGCCACCCCTACTGGACTCTGGCGATCCTTCCACCTCAGCCTTCCAAGTAACCAGAACTACAGGCGCGTGCTATCACGCCCGGCTAATTTTTTATTTATTGTAGAGATGAGGTCTCACCAAGTTGCCCGGGCTGGTCTCAAATCCGTGGGCTCAGGCAATCCACTCGCCTTGGGCTTCCAAGGTGCTGGGATTACAGGCTGAGCCACCAAGCCTGGTCAGGAAATGGTTTCTTAAACAAGATACAGAAAGCCCTAACCACAAAGAAAAAGATAAATGTGACTATGTTTCAGTATACAAAAATCTTTGATAATTGCTTATATTTACTGAGAGTTTACTGTGTATATCAAGTTAAGGACCTTACATACATCATATCATTTAATCTTCACAATGACCTATGATAAGTCAATATTATTATTTTCCCTATTTTACAAATGATGCTTAAGGAGGTTATGCATTTCACCTAAAGTTACATAGATACTGCCTATTTGAGCCTATCAGACTTCAAGCTGATAATCGTGTCTAGAGGCCTTCCCAATTCTAGGAGAAAAGTTCTTCAACACTCCAATCTCTGAAACCAGCAGCTTTCTCCTCCTCCTTTTTTTTAACCAGCATTCTACATCCAGTGCCTCTTTTTCTTCATCACCTACTTGTCATTACTTCTGCCATATCCTTTACGAGGATTCCCAGTCTGGGTTATTACTAACTCACTCCTTACTCCTCAAAATCCAATTCAAGCCCCAGTAATAATGATACCCTAATCAGATTAGGAAATGTAGGACATTCTAGTAATTAAACCCAATGGCTTTTCTTAATCTTCATCTTTATTGACCTATTTTGTACCTCCTCCTTCTTTAAATGTGATTCTCCTGAATTTGTTTGTCATACTTTTAACTTCTCTTTCAACAAATACATAATTGGCAGTAACTTTGTGCATGCATTGTGCACGTCCTGGGATACACATTCCAAAATACACAGTCCCAAACCTCAATGAACATATGTAGATTGAAGATAGTTAGGTAACTACCAAACAACAAGCATAATTGAGACATTTAAACATACACATATGTGAGAGAGAGAGAGAGAGAGAGAGAGAGAGAGAGTTTGTGTGTGTGTATCAAGAGCAAAGAGGAAAGTACACCTACAGTAAATTTTAATGGTTAAGCACATGGGTATGAGAGTCCGATAGACAAGGATTTGTGACCAGGATTTGCCACTTGTTATATTAGTTGTGTAACCATGGACAAATTGTTCAAAGTACTTTAATACTTAAATCAATAATTGCAAATGATTTCATGCTTACTAAGAGCAGAATGCTATTGGTATTAGAGACTGAACCATAGGCCGCATTACAAAAGTTAGTAGAAGAATGGCTGATTTTAAATACTTTAACAAAATTATCATAATTAAATACAAAGTATAACTTTTTTGTTTGTTTGTTTGTTTTTTGTTTTTTTGAGTTGGAGTCTCACTCTGCCGCCCAGACTGGAGTGCAGTGGCTGCTCCCGGCCACCGCAGCCTCGACCTGCTGGGCTCCAGCGATCCTTCCACCTCAGCCTTCCGAGTAGCCGGAATTACAGGCATGCGCTACCACGCCTGGCTGATTTTTTGATTTATTGTAGAGATGAGGTCTCGCTGTCCAGGCAGGTCTCAAACTCGTGGGCTCAGGCAATCCGCTCACCTCAGCCTCTCAAAGGCGCGGGATTACAGGCTGAGCCACCAAGCCCGGCTCAAAGTATATCTTACTGCGACCAAAAAAATTAAAAGATTCTTAAGACACATTTGACATAGCTTTCTACTGCTGGAGTACATTATAAAATCAATATGTAATCTGTAGAGAAAAGGTATGCCTTTAGGGGTTGGGAAGTATACTCTGGTGTCCCAACTTGGATAGTCCTAGGTCTATAGAATATTGGTTAACCTTGCTGTCCATACCAGACTATGGAAAGGACATATGCAGACAAAATATAAACATTTAATAGATTGGACCTTACACCAAAATTGGTAAAGTCCCCCAAAACTGACTCAAAGGTAGAAAGACAAGAATATATTTATTTGTTCTTATTAATGGGTGAAAACTCCCTAGATATAAAATTGCAAATCCAGTCTACTATTAAACTGCTGATACTTAAAATACTAGCCAGCTATGTAGACCCAGGGGACTCGTATTTGAAATGACTATTATCCCAAGAAATTATTTTATATAATATATAAATGGACTCCTTGGCTGGGCTAGGCGGCTCTGCCTATAATCCCAGCACTTTGGAAGACCAAGGCAAGTGAATTGCCTGAGCCCGCGGGTTCGAGACCAGCCTGGCAACTTGGCAAGACCTTGTCTCTATAATAAAAAAATAAAAAATTATCCAGGCATGGTAGCATGTGCGTGTAGTTCCAGTTACTTGGAAGGTTGAGGTGGAAGGACCGCCAGAGCCCAGCAGGTTGTCACTGGGATAGCCGTGAGCATGCCACTGCATTTCAGTCTGGGCAACAGAGTGAGACTTCAGCTCAATGATAAATGAATGAATAAATGAATGAATGAACTGCTCAAGTACATACTAAGCAATTTAACTGTTGGTCATTTGTTCTGCCATAACTGTCCACCTTTATCTATGTGAGCCCCAAAAGTGAATCTGGGTATATGCTAAGAATATGTGCTCTTCATTCCACCTTCCCTCCCCTACAACTAAACAATGTTTCACTCAGAGTTTGAAACTCTTGTCAGAATGAAGAGTGTTGGCTCAGCCTGTAATCCCGCGCCTTTGGGAGGCTGAGGTGAGTGGATTGCATGAACCCGTGGGTTCGAGACCTGCCTGGGCAGCGAGACCTCATCTCTACAATAAATTAAAAAATCAGCTGGGCATGGTAGCGCATGCCTGTATTTCCGGCTACTCGTAAGGCTGAGGCGGAAGGATCGCCGGAGCCCAGCAGGTCAAGGCTGCGGTGGCCGGGAGCAGCCACTGCACTCCAGTCTGGGCGACAGAGTGAGACTCCAACTCAAAAAAAAAAAACCAAAAGAAAAGAGTGTTAGTAGTGCTCCTTGCTGTTACATTTTCTCAATAAATTTTGTGTTGATACAGCTCATTTGCTTGTTTAAGTTTCCTTCTCTCCTCCCACTACCCTAGGATGGCATGAGATCAACTGGAATGATTTTTGGGGCATGGGTAAGATGTAAAAATTTTGATACATGCAGAAATGTTACATTTAAATTTTTATGGCTTCTGACATCAACTAAAGAAATAGCCATGCAAGTAATTTCTAAATGTGGCCCCTTCATAGGGTTAATCTAAAAATATCTGTATCTATAATAGATAGTATAGAACATATTCTCTATCATATATCTCTCTATCTACCTATATCTATATACAGAATATGTATAAACATGTGTGTATATAAACGTGTATGTATAAGTTTGTATATGCCAGATAAAATTATGTGATCAAAATTATGTTATTTAAAACATGTTAAATAAAATAAAAGGAAGTGATAATGTGTGGCTTCCTATGCTTTCTCAGTTTTCTATAAAATGAGAACTATAATAGCCTCTAACCACAGGCTTGTCAGGGAAATTAAATATTCTGCACAGTGCCTATAAGTTAGCAGATTTCTAAGTATTTATAAAATACTTTCTTGCCTCTTGGGATAAGCTTAAAGGAAAAGTTGAAGTGTACCAAGCAGAGACAGAAGGAAGTCATTATAGGAACGAGAAGAATGTATGCAAAGTTGCGCTGGTAAGACAGTGTGGTGTGTGGGACAAATTCAGTGGCTGGACTGGAGAGGACAAGACTGACTAGATGCAGGGAAACTATTTAAAGGGCCAAAGTAAGTGATGAGGAACTCTGGACTAGGGCAGTAGCAAAGGATAAGAAGAGATAGCTCAAAGAGCTCGCTAGGACATGTAATTGAAAGGGACTGGTAGATGCTCACATGGAGCTGAAGAAGAGAACAAAGGATACCCAAGGTTTTGAGATATGATTTACTGGATATATGTCGGTGACATCAACACAGAGCCACAAACATATTTTAAAGGATGAAGCTGAAGCATTTAGTTTTAAACATGTTTAAGCTAATATTAGGCATCTCAGTAAAATCACCTATGATATAATAGACACAGCACAGAGAATTCAGAGGTCAACATTCTTTTCAGAATATTTGATAAACATAAATGTTTATATAATTAAGTTCTTGTATAATCACACTGGCAATGACATAGGACACTAATCAGGAACTATGGACAACAGAGTTTCATGAAAAACTTGGAAAATATAAAGTAATTCATATTGGAATTCAGTAAGTTAAAAACACACTTCCATCACTACCTCAGCTGCTTTGCCGTTGTAAAGGCGAAAATGATTACAGGCTTTAAGATTGAGTGCGATGGTACTATCGGGAATTTGCTGAAGGTAAACAGCCAAAACTTCTTGAGACACATCATAGTAATCCAGCTTGTAGTAGCAGAGGGCCACGTAAACATTGAGGGCAAGGTATTCCCTATTAGATGAAAGAATTAAGGGTTAACAGTTTAAGTCTACTTCACAGAAATATTGTCAAACTACAAAGCTCAAATGGATAACAAGCAAAAAGGACAGTTCATGAATTTGCTTTGTGAAGAGGGCAAGATATAAATCAGTATAATTTTTTTCATTTTGCATTGCAAAATTTGGGTGTTTTGATATAAGTAAAAGATGACAACTAGAAAAGAAAGGGAAAGTTCATACAGTTCGTATTGAAAAACTAACACACTATAATTGAGCATAAACACAAATAAGCACATACCACACAAAGGATGGACAGACAAGGCAAGTAGGCTTAATGGCTAGGGATAGGCAGGAGACTGAAGGTTATGCAAAAGAGGGGAGAAGGAAGGGGGATGAGGCCAAGTGTTCAGTGATAAAGTTGGATTGTTAATTCTTCAGAATTTGTATCTAACTTTGTCAGCAAGTTACCTACTATATAACTGCAACACTGAGGCTGATACATCTAGACCATGCATTTTCAACAGGGGCAATATCATCCCCTAATGGGACAAAAATTGGCTCCTATGGGGAAAAAAATCCATTCTCATTTTATACGTAAAGCATAGCTAGACACATAGTAAATAAATATACATACAATATATTGATATATATGTTAGTATGTTAAAATTTCACGGGCACGTAATTAGGGGCAAAAAGTCTAAAAAGGTTCCTTAGTAGAGTGATCAATGGGGGAAAAAGGTAGAGAAAGGTTAATTTAGACAATATCTAAGGAGTTCTTAATCTCGCCTGGTTATCAACTAAACAGATTTGAACACATGATTGTACTATACCCAAAGGACACTAGGTCCTCAGGCCAAACTGGTTACAAAAGAAACTAACAAAAATAAAAGAGATTTAGAGTAGGCATAAAAGAACATAGACCTGTTATCTAGCAGTATTCGCTTATAAATATCAATAGCTTCTTGGTAGTGAGATCTCATATAGTGGATTGAGGCCAAACTGAGTTGATCTTCTGTGATATCCTGAAGATTCTGATGAAAGTTCATTAATTTTTTCTCATCATTAAACTAAAATTGTGAAACAGGAAAAGACATATGAAGATTTACATTAGTGTATGCAGTTAGAGAAATCAATATCATAGTAACAGAGCTTTTAACAACTTATTTAGCCATCTGACCCCATCTTCTCTATTCAGATTCCTTACCTTCTTCATCTCTCCTTTAAAGAAATAATGCAAATGGCCTCTGGAGGTATAGCTTGACAATGGAGCTGTACGTTATAGTTCATGTTAATTACTTGGCCCATCCCCTTACCCTCTTTTCTTTTTCTTTATATTTTCTCCCTTTCCTTTTTTTCTACATCTCTTTACTCTTACCCTTTAACAATTTTTATCCGTTCTTTTTGTGTATCTTTCTCCTTGGTGGACAACAAGGAATCAAAATGTATTTCTCATCATGCAATTTAGTGAGTAGTTTTTTTTTTTTTTATTTGGATTCTCACTCTGTCACCCAGACTGGAGTGCAGTGGCCACTCCCGGCCACCGCAGCCTCGACCTGCTGGGCTCCGGCGATCCTTCCGCCTCAGCCTTCCAAGTAACTTTCTGCTTTAGACTTTTTCATCCTCTCTTCACTTATTATATACTTTGTTGCTGTTTTAGGTTGTCGGAATTCCATTCTAACCTTGCACGCTTATTGAGTTAGATGGTTACTGCAAAGAACAGTTGCCTTTGGCTTATATATGGATACCAAACTGATATTTTTTTGCGGGGAGCGAATGAGCACTGTCTGAACAGCAGGCCTTGAGCAAAGCAAGGCCCCAAGTAAAGGCAAGGTCTTGCTTGGTTGCTCTGCATCCTAGCCAAAGAGCAAGGGATGCAGCCTGCTACATGCAAGGGCATCTCAGATGACCACACATCCGGGGGCACATAGTACAGATAAAGCCTTAGCTACAACAAGATAACTGTGGAACAGCTCGCCATTTAGGTAGCAACAAAATTCCACTATAGCTCCCTCACAGACCTTGAATCCCTTGCAACTTCCTCTGTGCTTGATTATAAAATAAACATGCTAAGCTAGCTTGGGGCCACCTCTCCTCCATCAGAGGAAAGTGTCCCACCTGGCTCCAGCTTTTCTTTATGTCTTTGTGTCTGTGTCTTTCTAATCTCTCACCGCTCTCTCTCGGGACCCTCAAGGCAGTCGCATGGGTTGCGGCATCTGGAGCCTGAACAGGGACCTGAGCACAAGAGAACTCCGAATCTCAGGTGAAGAGATGCTCCGAGAGAGGTGTGCACATAAAAATAAGGGAAGGTAAGGAGTGGATTTAGTTTCAGCTGGATGTAAAACATGGGTAATTCTGGCTCCCAAGAGAGGAGTCTGTATGTCCAAGTGTTAAAACTATGCTTCAGGCAAGAGGCTGCCTGGTTAAAGGTTCTCAGTTAGAGAACATGCCCCTGGTTCTTTGATCAAGGGACAGTTAATTTGGATACTTGGAACAAGGCCAGTAAACAACTTAGGGAGCCAAGTTCCCCCCAAGCCTTATTCATAGCCAGAATAGCCGTTGTTGCCTGTCAGGTTGGTGGATCAAGGGGAAATCCTTACTGGACTTATTTCCTGGACCCTTCTATTCTCCAACCTGCTACTTAGGCTGGTGGCTCAGTCCCTGTCTTTACCAATGATACCAGTACGTTGGGCGGACAATCTGATAAACATATTACTGCTGACCATAGTACAAATTTTAACTTCACAGGGGCTAGTAATAGCCGTCCTATTTGCCTTTTTAACACCCTTAAGTTGGGTTGTCTTAAGATGAATCAAGAAAATAAAACCTCCTCCCAGGCTACACAAATAGCTAATATTTTGGGTCCCTGGGACATAATAAAATATCTACAAATCATACCTAAGTGGGGGTTCCCTATTTCTACTTATAATGTTTCCCAGGCTCACCCCAATATTCCATACTGCTCTAATAGTACAGGGATAGAGCTTGAAAAATTCCCCAATTGTACAGAATGTGCCACTCCTATGCCCATAGTCCGAAACCTTACAGGAATCCCCCCTCTTAATCTATGACTGGTCTCACAGACTGGACCCCTCTCATCTTAACCATGAGCTCATTTCCCCTGGGGTTTGTTTGTCTGTTTTGAGTTGGAGTCTTACTCTGTCACTCAGACTGGAGTGCAGTGGCCACTCCCGCCATCACAGCCTCAACCTGCTGGGCTCCGGTGATCCTTCCGCCTCAGCCTTCCAAGTAGCCAGAATTACAGGCATGCGCTACCATGCCCGGCTGATTTTTTTATTTATTGTAGAGATGAGGTCTCGCTGCCCAGGCGGGGCTCGAACCCGCGGGCTCAGGCAATCCACTCACCTCAGCCTCCCAAAGGCGCAGAATTACAGGCTGAGCCACTGAGCCTGGCTCCCCTAGGGGTTTTGTTGGCAACATCCTTACTACTTCCCAAAGTGACATCCAAAAGGAACTGTGGCGGCTCCCCACCTCCCTTATTTTGTTAATTTTACTAGTGGGTCTTTGGTCGATTTGACAGAAAGTTGTGGTACAACTTCCCCCTGCTACGGGGTCCGGGCCTGTGTCCAATGTCCTTTTAACAGGCTCTGTTAATGTCACCCCAGTCGATGACCATTATGACTTACAATGTAACTCTTTTTTTTTTAATATATTTTTTTATTTTAAAACTGTGGGGTACAGTTAAGGGTTAGGTATACAAATATGTGTCACTCAGGTACCCTTGTTGATAAGGCGTGTCCCCCCCCATCTCCAGACAGATATTCACTACCATTAATCCCACCTCTCTTTCCCTCCTGGATCCCCCCATTGTTTCCCACCACTGTCAATCCTTTTCTTATAGTATTACGATAGATGTTCAAGGTCCACTTATGAGTGAGAACATGTGATACTCAGAACTTTGTTTCTGTGAGAGATCACTCAGTATTATAAACTCTAGTTCCATCCAGGTTGCTGCGAAATTCGTGATTTTGTTCTTTTTTATGGCTATGAAGTATTCCATCACAATGTAACTCCTATAATCTTACAAACTATGTCACCTGCCATAATGCAGGACAAGACATCCTGGTTTTACAACAGCTCCCCTTTATTATGATTCCCACTAACATATCAGTCCCTTGGTATGATGATGCAGGACTGCAGGTGCTTCAGAAATTACACCACCATCTTGCTTCCCAGTCTCGTAGGGCCATTGGATTCATAATTTTTGGATTGGTGACCTTAATTTCAGTCATCACTTCTGCAGTGACTGCTGTCACCACACTGTCTCAATCCATCCAAAATGCCGAGTTCGTCAACACTCTGGCTCAAAATACCTCCAACGCATATGGAGTCACAATAACATCAGCATAGACCTACTTAAGCTCCACCCCAATATTCTAGACATCCAGAATAGCCAAGATCCTATCGTACAACCCACCCAAATAACACAAAATCTTCTTAATGATCTTAAGGGATTCAATCCCTTTAATATGTTAAAACATTCTGCCTGGTTTATTCTGAGTTTTTTCATATTTGCTCTAATCCTCCTTTGTTTTTTGCCAGTTGGATACGGAATTCTCCAACACCAATTCAGAGCCACCACAGTAGCCGTCCATCGCCTACATTTAGAAAATAGAAAAGGAGGAGATGTGGGGACCGAATGAGCACTGTCCAAACAGCAGGCCTTGAGAAAGACAAGGCCCCAAGCGAAGGCAAGGTCTTGCTTGGTTGCTCTGCATCCTAGCCAAAGAGCAAGGGATACAGCATGCTACACGGAAGGGCATCTCAGATGCCCACACATCTGGGTGCACATAGTACAGATAAAGCCTTAGCTACAACAAGATAACGTGGAACAGCTCACCATTTAGGTAGCAACAAAATTCCATTACAGCTCCCTCACAGACCTTGAATCTCTTCCAACTTCCTTTGTGCTTGATTATAAAATAAACATGCTGAGCTAGTTTGGGACCACTTCTCCTCCATCAGAGAAAAGTGTCCCACCTGGTTCCAGCTTTTCTTTATGTCTTTGTGTCTGTGTTTTTCTTAATCTCTCACCACTCTTTCTTGGGTCCCTCAAAGCAGCCGCATGGGCCGTGGCAATTTTTGACAGTAACCCTTAATATGCATACTGCTTACTTTTGCCTGGTATAAAGATTGATGTAGTAGCTTAAAAATTGGTAAAGGATCTGTTTCCACAAAACAATAAGTTCTGGAGCTGACTCCTAGTTGGTCACTGATATGTTACAAGTAATTTTTATAAGATTTGTTTAAATCTTGTCTTGATGTGGCAGGCAAATGAATACAACTACTATCTTCCAAAGTCTAGCTTGAAAGGATTTCTATTGAGTTTAACTTTCCTTATCCATCTACACTTTAGTTAACTGATAATAAACATCAAGACAAGAAGTTCCAAGTATTATTATTTCGCTAGGCATAAAAATTGGAAATAATCCAAATGACCAACAATAAGAAAATGATTAGGTAAATTAAGGCACATCTATAAAATGGAACACTGTAAGGACATTAAAATGCATAATAAAGAAGTATGCTTCCAAATTAAAATGTTATAGACCAGCACAGGACTAAGGAAATAAATGGAGAAAACCTATTCCATCTAAAGGTGGTGCCTGTTACTTGACTTCAACCAATTGTTGCATATAGAAATATGAATTCAGTGTTGTCAAATCCTCTAGTTTTTCAAGAGAAGCCAGTAATCAAAGTGTTTGTGTGCCAACCCTTATTTTTAAATTTTAAAAATTTGGAACATTGTTTTAGAAAAACATCTGTGGTACATTTTCAACCTATGAACTATTACTTACAATTTCTTCTATAGACTACCTAGTTAAATAGGAAAATGTTCATGATACACTTTCACTTTTGAGTGAAACACCTGGTTAGACAATTTGTTCCAAATTTGGTAACATAAATATATATACATATAAATATATGAGTATTTAAAAGATTGGAAGAAAAGAGAGTAAAATATTACAGTGTTATCTCTAGGTGACAGATTTACAGCAAATCTTGATTTTTTTGCTATTTTCTAAAAGTACTATATGTACTATAATGAACATATATGTTTTTGTAATCAGACAAAAAAGACAATAAGATATATTTCTTTACATTTAGTCAAAAACTTTCTCTTCTAATAATACTAGAATAGCTTGTAACATGCATGTTCCCACCAAGAACAACTAGAAAAGATTGAAAACTACTGAATAATCTGTGGGAAGGCATTGGAGAGCTACCAAGGTAGTGAAGACTTGAGATGCCAAGATCCCAAGGAGAAGAAAAATGCAGAGATGTGAGTCTGATATTTAGCACCACTTTTTCTCTCAAGGTACTTTTTCTCTCAAGTCACCAATTCTTAGTTGGTGTCTGAGTTGCTGAACACTAAGCAGAGCTTCAAGAAGTCTCTGGGCTTAAAAAACAAAAAATAGACATCTGAGCCCACCAAGGCTATTAGTTGGGACCTCTGAAAAGTTATCCTAGAAGTAACATGGAAATAGACTAGCCCTCAGAAAAACTGAGCACTAGTTTTAAATCAGTGCAATTCCTGACAGGAAATCAGTTGATTTGCGTATGTGCCTTCTAGAAGTAAAAGTAAATCCTCTCTGGAAGAAGACAAAATCATTCAGAGCCTCAAATTATCTCTACATATTTGAATATACAATAGCCAACATTAAACAAATTTATCAAGCATACCAGGAGATAAGACCATTTGACTGAAAACCAAGAAATAGCTATCAGAAGATGCCATTATTTACTAGACATAAATTTTAAAATAATGGGTATCAATATGCTTAAGAAATTAAATTGAAAATTGGGTATTAGGTAATGAAATATAAATTCTAGAAATGAAAAACATAACAGAAATTAAGAACTAAATATATAAAGTAAATAGCTGATCAAAGTTGAAGAAAGATTAGTAAAATAAAAGAAATTTCTGTAGGAAATATATAAAAAATACCGACAAAGTATTTATATGTGACACCCTAAAAAGATCTACATACATACATATTATTGGGATCCTAGAAGGAAAGAAGACAATATGGAGCAGAAGCATAACTTGAAGAGATAATGACTGAGAATTTTTCTAAATTAAAGGAAAAAAAAAAAAAGATTTCAAGCAAGCACTATGAACTTGACATAATACAAATACAAAGAAAACTACATCTTGCAACATCAAGGTAAAAATGTTAATAACCAAAAACAACATATAAATATTAAATTAGAAAAAAATATTCAAAGGAGCAACAACAAGACTGATAGCCAATGTCTCAGTAGAGGCAAGAACCTATGAAGCAATAAAGAAACAGCTTCAGATGCAAAACAAAAATAACTACCCATCTAGAATTCTACAGTCAGAAAAAAAAATCATTTAAAAAATATTGTAAAATAAAGACATTTTTAGACAAAAACAGAGAATTCATCACCACTAAAGGAAATATTAAATGAAGTTCTTCAAATAGAAGGAAAATGATTTTAGAAGCATAAACTTGAAGGAAGAAATGAAAAGCAACGGAAAGGATACATATGGTTAATTATAGATGTATACTGACTGCATAAAATAACAATCATATTTTCTGGGGTTAGAAGTATATAGAGACTAAAAATAAATTTCAAATTTGCACAAAAGATGGAGGGAAAAAACAAGTGAAAATGGTCTGAGTTCCTTTAATTGTCTAGAAACTGGTAAAGGTACTAATTAATAACACACTTTAATATGTAAAAGACACATGCTATGGTAACTGCTAAAATTATATTAAGAATTTTCATAACAACAAGTCACTGGAGGAAAAGCATAGAATAAAATCTGTCCAAAAAAGAAAAAAAAAAAAAAGAAAGAAAAGGGAACATGGACCACTTGGGGCAAATAGAGAGATAATAGTAAGATGGCAGTTACGAAGCTAACCACAACAGTAAATACACCAAACAAACGGCTTAAATACTAGAGTTTTAAAAAATGGACATTTTAACTGGATTTTTTAAATCCTACAAAACTCACTTATATGCTGTTTATATGAGTCACTAAATATAAGGGCACAAAAAGGTAGAAAGTAAAAGGATAGATAAAGAGATACAATAGGCAAATACTAACTAAATGAGAGCTGGTGTAGCTATGCAAATGTGACAGAAATTTTTTAGAGATAAAGAGGGTCATTTCATGATAATAAATGTTACCACCTACTAGGGAAGACAAGGCAATTCTAAGTTTGTGTGTACTTGATGACTCTGAAAGATACATAAAGCAAAAATTGACAGAAATAAAAAGAAAAAGATAATTATGGTGTAAACTTTTAAAATATACCAAAAAATAATTATTTTTATACACTGTCTGTGGGCAATTAGATAAACTTTCTGTAAAATAGTTTAGCAATATCAACCAAAAGCTTTAAAGTTGTTCATACTCAATAAGGTATGTCCATTTCTAGGATGTTCAGAATGACATTTTTATATTAAAAATTAGAAACAATCTAAAAGGTAAAGTAGCTAGAAAATGTTGAATAAATTATGGCACATACGATGTATATGATAGAATGCTATGAAAGCATTTAAAATATATTTTAAAAATTACAAAAACGTTTGTAATTTGAAATGTATTAAGAAACCTTTTTTTTTGTTTTGAGTTGGAGTCTCACTCTGTCACCTAGGCTGGAGTGCAGTGGTACGCTAACAGCCATCACAGCCTTGACCTGCTGGGCTTAGGCAATCCTTCCGCCTCAGCCCTCCAAGTAGCTGGAACTACAGGCATATACCACCATGCCAGGCTCATTTTTTTATTTATTGTATAGATGAGGTCTCATCAAGTTGCCCAGGCTGGTCTCAAAACTTTGGGCTCAGGCAATCCTCTTGCCTCTGCTTCCCAAAGTGCTGGGATTACAGGTGTGAACCACTGCACCTGGCCTGAAAAGTATATATTTATTTCTGGGAGTCAGGACAAGGTACCTCTGAGTCTGTTTCCAAAGAGGATAGTTGACACAAACTAAATTTCCTCAATGACTGCTGCTTAAAGAGAAATAAAACCTTACATCTCTGAATAAATTAAGAGAGTAAAGAACATCAATGGGGAGAAAATCCTATAAAAGTAATAACTACACCAGAACCCAGCAGGTCGAGGATGTGGTGGCTGGGAGCGTGCCACTGCACTCCAGTCTGAGCGACAGAGAAAAAAAAAAATTAATAACTATATTCTACTTGTCCTAGAAATACCATTAAGAATTACTAGTTAATTATTTTTCACTAGTGTTGCTCACAAGAAGACAGAAAGAGAAAAATACTTTTTAAAAAATGTGTAATGAGAACATGAATACCTTATGAGCCAAATGGAAGAGCAGACGGTTTTGGAGCTGGCTTTTTGGTGCTGGGAAAAAAAAAAAAAAAAATCTGAGCAGTAGCAACCACAGTATTTGAGAACCAGAAGAGAAATGTTCTAAGATTCTGCTCTTCCCCACGACTTGTTCTACCTGATTCTACTATGGTGATCCACAGCACAATACTTCCCCACACATTGTTGTAGTAGTAACCCACCTCTGTGTTGTTCATATACTGAACCAAACACTGATTATAGACAGCTATGGTCATCTAAACACGTGTGTGAATCTACTCTCATTCAGCTGTTCTTTCCAGTATTGTCAGTTCCTTCTGAAATCTCCTTTGCTACAATTATACTGCCATATTTTCCTAAATATTAGCCTGGTCTCTATCCTATAGATCTTCTGGCACAATAATGTAACTCACTGAAACAGGCAGACTAGTAAAAAGGTTAACAGTTTTTAAGCTCCAAATCTCCTTTACACTCTTGGAAAACTTTCTGATTCTGGATATCTAATTTTATATATATATATTTTTTTTTTTTTTTTTTTTTTTTTAGATAAGGTTTCACTCTGTCATTCAGGCTGGAGTGCAGTGGCATAATCACAGTTCACTGCAGCCTCCTGGGCTCAATGATCCTCCTGCCTTAGCCTCCCAAGTAGCAGGGATTATAGGCATGTACCACCACGACCAAATAATTTTTCTATTTTTTATAGAGATGGGGGTCTCACTTTGTTGTCCAGGCTGGTCTCGAACTCCTGGCCTCAGGAGAACGTTACACCTCAATGTCCCAAAGTGCTGGGATTATAAGCATGAGTCACAACACTGGGCCCAATTCAATATCTTTTTTATTAAAAAAAGTCATACTTCAATGTGTGTATATTTTATATATGTATGTATATATGTGTGTGTATACATAAACAGAGATAGCTATGTTGATCACTTTGAGTGTTAGTTATGTGTCTAGCACTGTTCTAGGCATAAAGTCTAGAAATATTAAATAAAGTAACAAAGGAAGTTATAACTAAATTAGGAAAAACTATTCTAGTGCATATAAAACAATCAAGGAACAAATCAAGAAAGGCTTTGCTGGGTGTGGTGGTAGGCATGCCTGTAGTCCTAGTGACTCAGAAGCCTGAGAAGGGTAGATCACTTGACCCAGGAGTTAGAGGTGCTAGTGCACTATGATTGTGCTTGTGAATAGCCGCTGTACTCCAGCCTGGGCAACATAGGAAGACTCCATTTTTTAAAAAAAAAAAAGCCTTCAAGTTCTACATTTTCCATTAATTTTACCTGAAATTATATATTTATAAATTATGCTACTGGAATATATTCTCCCCTAACAAATATTCCTTGCCCACCTTTCTCTGCATTTTCTTAAATTTAATTTGATTCATATTCTAATTATCCTTAAACTTTTCCCCACGTTTTCCTTCTACCTTTTTCTTACTTGCAAATTTGAGAAACGAATTTGCAATTCTCCTGAGATAAATGTTATGATAAATAAGAAAACAGAAGGGAAAATTTCTGGATTCTTCAAGCTGAAATTATTGGGCTTCTTACTCAAAAACAGGAAAAGCAGCAAAAAAATCCATAGGCATAAGAGCTTGAACAAAACTATGTCTAACTATTACCAACAGCAAGAACATCTTCCCATTATGAGGCCTAAGAAAGATGCTTAGCCCTTTTTCTTCTCTCATCTTTATGATTTTTGGCTGTAGCCTGGGATGATGGGGCAGGATTAACTCTCTTTAAACATAAAGTTGCTACAGGACAATAATATTTGAAGAGTAAAGCTATTTTTTAGCTTTCTAATGTCAGTTGGTTTTTCCTTAGTAGATAAAGGAATAAAGTAAGTTTTTAAATCTCTAAAATGACTCTATGAGTGAAGAATATCAGAAGTAAAAAGAGCCTATTTTACCTTTAAATCCAGCTGCTTCAGCTTGTTTATACATCCCAAGGTAAAAGTAGGTACAGGCTAGGTTCACCCAGACTTCAGGATTACAATTGTCCTCTTTTGTAGCATTTTCATATTCCTGAAATATATATTAAGCAGTGACTCATTTTGGCAGTAAAGCAATTAATGGCCCATTCTTCTACAATGAGATAGGATTTCTTAATGAGATTGGACAACTTCACATTTAGGAAATCCTACCAGCTCCTCAACTATTTTATACCCAAAAAGATAAATCGCTGAAGCTAAAACTCAACCCTATTCCTGCAGGGCTGTTTTTCACATAATCTTTGCTTGTTTTTTTTCCCCCATTAACACTGATATGGCTAACACACTGCAAAAACATAAAGTAATTTTATTTTTTCTAAATTAAAAAAACATACAAAAGATACCCTTTAATAAATTCATAGGTTCGGTTCACTTTAATACACTACAAATTCCATTTCACTCTAATTGTTTTCTGAGCTTTATACATATTTTTTAAAAAAACATTTTTCTCCCCAAGATTCACTTTGTCAACTACATTTTCCATATATCCTTACTTTTTGTCCACCTTTCCCAGGTTCCTTCATTTCTTTTTCTTACTACATTTTGGAAATTCTTTCTTTTCTCCTATACCATTCACAAATGTTACCAGTCTCTATTCTGTCCTTTTATATTTCTCTTTTCCTTCACCAACTTTGTTCCCTTTGTTCTTTATCTTGCTTCCTCATTACCTTTTCTTAAATATTTTAATTTTAGTATGCAGATTCTTCAAATTTTCTCAGATTGCATTTTGGGAGTAACAATATTGTGAGAAATATTTAAGCAATTCCATTTATGAATTTAAAATTACTTGACATAATGCCTCTATAATTTTATTTATATCCATAAACCTATCAATTAATTATTATAGAGAAGTAATATTTACAATGACCAAAAAAAAAAAATTTTCAAAACAATTATACTTGCAAAAATATAAAGATAATGTAATCCTTCCTATGTAAAAATAGCCAAGCAAAATAAAAGAGAGATTCTTTTGAGAAAAGACTCATGAAAGTTTTTATTTAAATGGCTTATTTTTATTTTTCTAAATATTTACTTAAGAAATACTAATGCCAATATGTTATACAGTCTCATTAGTACACATGTAAAAGTAAAAAGTATACAATATACATATACATATAGCAATCCCCCATTACCTACAGGGTACGTGCTCCAAGACCCCCAGTGAATGTCTGAAACCTCAGCTATTACCAAATTCCATATATATACATATAATGTTTTTTTCCTATACATACACATCTACAATAAAGTTTAATTTATAAACTAGGCACAGTAAGAGATTGACACCAATAACTAATAATAACATAGAACAACTATAACAATGTATGGTAATAAAAGTTATGAAAATGTGGTCTCTCTCTGAAAATATCTTATTGTACTGTACTCATCTATTTTTGGACCAGGGTTGAACCATGGTGGGTAACAAACTATGGAAAGCAAAATCACAGGCAAGAGGGAACTACTGTATTGGAACTACTGTATTGGAACACATACAGAAGATTTCGGGGCCAGGCACAGCAGCTCATGCCTGTAATCCAAGTACTCTGGGAGGCCAAGGTAGAAGAATCACTTGAGCTCAGATTTGAGACCAACCTGGGTAACATAGTGAGACCTCACCTCTACAGAAAATATAAAAATTAGCCAGTCATGGTGATGCATGCCTATTTTTCCAGCTACTTGAGAGATTGAGGTAGAAGAATCACTTGAGCCCAGAAGTTTGAGGTTATAGTGAGCTGGGATCATGCCACTGCTCTCCAGCCTAGCCCAGGTGACAGAGTGAGACCCTGCCTCAAAAAAATAAAATAAAATAAAATAAATTAAAAGATTTCTGAAGCAATACAGTGGTTTTCTTCATTAACATAGAAGTAGGATGGAGGAAGGCAAATAGATGACTTTTTTATTTTTGTTTCCTTCTGTGTTGTTTGAATTTTGCCATAAGCCTGGATTGATTTAACACAAAGTTTAATAACATTTTAATAATGTTTTATAACATCTTCTGATATAATTTTTTTTTTTAACTAACCTCTAGAGCTCTCTTGTAGTCACCCAGGTGAAAAGCACAGTATCCAATCCACAAATTAGTATCCTCTTCTTGTTCCCCAACATGACGTTTGAACTTCAGGTTAAAAATTTATGAAAAAAAATCATGAAAACTTTGAAAGTAAACTCTCTGTCTTAAAAAAAAAGCAACATTAAGTTACTGATGAAAAATAGGTAATCTAAGTAATAAAAAGCATGATAATATGTATTTTAATTAAACCTATACCTACAGGACAATTATCTTCTACCTGTCACAGATATTATATTTTCAAATATTTCACATTTTTTTTCCTGATGTTGTATTCTGGGAAGTATTTGAGTTATATAACATTTCTGGTCGATGGAACAGAAAACCTGTGTGAAATATTTAAGGTCAAATAACTGAAGGTTAGAGAAGCTGAACAATGAACTCAAGGCCAAAGAGCCAGAGTATGGAGTGGCAGAGACTTAAAGTAATGTCTGACTCCAAAGCCCATGTTTCACCCTGAGTGCTCTACTGAATTCAACCTCATACTTCAATCTTGTCCCATTAGCACACAAATATATGTATTAGTAGGCCATAACCTTTCACTTAGGACAAGCCATTAAGTCTTTCTATTACCCTTTAACAAGATAGCTTACCAGGCCTGCAAGAGTTAAGGATGTTCAGAAGACTGACCTCATCTATATACACTGTGAACAAGTATTTGTGAATTACTCAGCCAACAAAAGAGAAGTCCTATTTTGGAAGAAAGAACTAAATTCTTGAAGGAGGATTCTGAATGGCCACAGTAGGAAGAGATTTTTTTTCACTCTACAGGAAGATGAATCAAATAGGGCACCATCACATATTTAAAGAGCATAGGTATAGAGAACTTCAGGTACCCTAGTCAATACAAGATAAAGGCATTCCTTCAATACTTTTTTGTCTGGTACAAGAATTTATTGCTGTAGACAACTCCACAACATTAGAACTCCTCCTCTCACCAAATGTTGTGAATTTGAGTATAGTGCCTTAAGTCTAGGGAAATTCTTATTTGAGGTCTCCCTCAATTTGCTCCCAGGAATACCCTGCAGCCACGGAAGAGCATCTGAGATTTCCTCACCCCAAACAATGGCAGTTTCTATTACCATGCAGCATGGTACTCCAACCAGTTACCTAAGCATCCAAGCATGGAGCAGAGCCTTCCTGCTAACATAAAGGCAGTCTGAAATTATGCAATAAGGAAAATGTGGCCATTGCCTTAAAGAAAAGAGAGGAAAAAAACCAGACTGATAAAAAATAGACATATACATCGCACTTGGTCCACTGATTTACAGAGCTAGAAGGTCCTTTCAAGTCAACTCCCCCACATGAAAAAGCTGTCACCAAAAAAAGGTAAACAATGTGCTCAATACCAGAGCACTAGTAAGAAACACAGGACAATACATAGAAGATTGAGAAGTATACGTAAAGCTAATTAAAACAATTATTGCTGATAGGCTCAGAGTAATATGGCTGAAATAGTGTTTTAGAGAAATGATGTGGCACAATACAACCAGACCATGCTGTCAAAACTATTCATTCTTTGGTGCACCCCTTCACCCTCCTATATGTTTCCTACAAAGCAGTTTCTCAAAGTGCAGACTCCTTGGTCCATCTACATCAGAAGCACTGAGACTATATGCCTAAAATGCAGATTCCTGAGCACCACTGCAGACCTAAAGAATCAGAATCCCTAGGGCAGGAACCCAGGATACACATCTTAATAAGTACCCAAGGTATTTCCAGTGCAGGTTAAAAGGTGAGAACTGCCATAGAGATTTGAAATTTGTGCCGGATACAATATTTTCAACAATAAGCAAGATAGAATCATTTAAATTTTATCAAAATTTTAGAACACATAATCATAACAAATCATAAATTGATTAGGAGTTGATAAACAATGTGTGAACTATCACTGCATTAAATATCCCTCTGCATTTTTAGGATGTATCCACCATCAGTGGAACTAGACATATCAAAATGGGCTCTTAAGAAATAAGTTTATTTTGTAGTTTATCTTTAATCAGGTTTACAGTTAACTTGGAATCTGGAATCTGAGCCTGGGTTAGTTTACCAGGGGATTCCTTGAAGAAGTCCCAGAATGCACCCACCTGTTCCAACAGCTTAGCAATCAGCACTCACCCAAGCATTCATCTATAGTCTGGTATTCACCTTCTAGGAAGCAACCTTCTTTGGACATTACCTCCAATAGAGTAATAGCTCCAGTGAAATCTCTTTGGGAAAGTAGCTCCTCTAGTTTTGGAATCTTCCTACCTTTCTTCTTTCTTTTGTCAGCGTGTGGTAGGTCCCCGCCCACAGCAGGTTTGGCCCTTGAAAGCATCTGTGAAAGAAACAACAAAGACAGTTGTATGGTCCAATTCCGACGACCGGTTTTAAACCGAGGGCAACAGCTTCACGATTTATAACTCAAATCCTTAACAACGAATCCCAGGGAAGCCCATTCAAACTCATTCTGTAACCCGTATTTTACTAAAAGGGTCATACCCCGTCCTTGGGCTGAATCATACAGCTACTCTCAACTTCTTTATCCTCTCCGATTCGCGTGCGACAGGAGATGCTTTCGCACAGCTCTGTGATCTCAGCCTCCCCTTGCTCTGCTTTTCATCCCACGAGCAGCTTGGGTGTGGGTGAAAGGAGAAGCAGGAGGGAAGAAAGCATCGAGGTGTGTGCAGTTGCATCCCGGTTCCCCCCGTGGGAACACAGGGAAAGCAAGGGGATCACCTTCTGCGAACACACCTAGACTTTACCAAGATGTGTGCTGCGAACCCCTAGTCCAGTCCCAGGACCTATTCAAAGTTCTCCCTCGCTGTTCAGAGTCACTAACCATGTTGACGTCTGTCCCGCGAGTCCCCCTCCGCAGACAGACAGCAAAGGCCGCGCCTCAGCGCGTCGCCGCATCCACACTGCACGCCCTGTCTCCACGGCAACCCCGCGGCGAGGCCGGTCCGTCCAGGAGAAGAGCTCGGCAGGGAATCAGTGCTCTGGCTCCTTGGTTCCGTTCCGCTTCCGCCACGGACGTGTGCTTGAACTTCACTTGGGAGTAGAGCGTCGTTGTCTGTGCCGAGAGCGAAAGTTTTACTTTGGCGCTTACTTTAAGAAAAGACTGGCTCAGGCTGTAATCCCTCGCCTTTGGGAGGCTGAGGTGAGTGGGTTGCCCGAGCCCGCGGGTTCGAGACCCGCCTGGGCAGCGAGACCTCATCTCTACAATAAATCCAAAAATCAGCCGGGCGTGGTAGTGCATGCCTGTGATTCCGGCTACTCGGAAGGCTGAGGCGGAAGGATCACGGAGCCCAACAGGCGAGGCTGCGGTGGCCGGGAGCGGCCCCTGCACTCCAGTCTGGGCGACAGAGTGAGATTCCAACTCAAAAATAAAATAAAATAAAATAAAGAAAAATAAAATAAAATAAAAAAATTAGCCGGGCGTGGTAGCGCGCGCCTGTAATTCCGGCTACTCGGAAGGCTGAGGCGGAAGGATCGCCGGAGCCCGGCAGGTCGAGGCTGCGGTGGCCGGGAGCGGCCACGGCACTCCAGTCAGGGCGACAGAGTGAGACTCCAACTCAAAAAAAAAAAGACGAATTTGAAAGGCACTGCGTCTCAAATGTAAGTTTCCTGGGAAAGTAGTTTTCAAGAACCACTTCCGTTTTGGATTGCATCGAGCTCCATAGCAACAAAGCTTAGAAAAATTTCTGCAGGACCGACGTGTGGACGTGTGGAGGCGAAAGTGCACCTAGATACAGTTTCTTGTTTCCACAGATACACCTGCACACAATATTTGTTGATTGGACGACTTAATGTGAGGCAGGGCAGCTAGCATTTCTTAGACATTAGGTGAGTTTCTTGCAGGCAGGCATAGCTTAGGTAATTAAAAGAGGATGGTCAGGCACCAGGGCCTGACGTATCCGAACATAACTTTCTGAAACAATACCTGCGCTGACTAGGCCCCCTAGATCTAACCCCAGAATGTGAGGAGATTGGTACACTTAGTTACAGAAACCACAAAGCAAGTCAGTAAGGCAATTGGCAGAGACAGTGGAATGTGGTGCTCTTTAAGGAGAAGCTTAATCAAACTGCGAAACAGTAACTTTTACTATTATCTTTAAAATTTCCCGTGACAGAAGTAAGCTTAGAAGTAAGTGATGAAGAATAGAAGCTTGTGACCAATAAAGCTTGTGGTTAATAGATTATTACCCACCATGTAGCACACGGATCTTAGCTTAAAGAATAGAATGCTTGCCGGGCTCGGTGGCTCAGTCTGTAATCCCGCGCCTTTGGGAGGCCGAGGTGAGTGGATTGCCTGAGCCCGCGGGTTCGAGACCCACTTGGGCAGCGAGACCTCATCTCGACAATAAATCAAAAAAATCAGCCCGGCGTGGTAGCGCGCGCCTGTAGTTCCGGTTACTTGGAAGGCTGAGGCGGAAGGATCGCCGGAGCCCAGTAAGTCGAGGCTGCGGTGGCCGGGAGCGGCCACTGCACTCCGGTCTGGGCGACAGAGTGAGACTCCAACTCAAAAAAAAAAAAAAAAAGAATAGATTGCTTAATCATCACTATGAAAAATATATAGAGCACTCAGCTGCCATCAAGGCCGTGTGCCCTTTCTCTTAAGGGACCCCTATCCTCTCTTGGACATATTTCCTTTTCCTTCCTAATAAATCCCGTGTTAAACTACACTTTGGGTTTTTACTCTGAAATTCTTTTCTGCGGCAAAATCAAGAACCCATGGAGCAACTACCCCCCATGCCGCTCAGCATCAAATGTGTCCATCTTACTCCTGTAACCTAGTTAATAAGGCTGCAAGGGTAGTTGCTAAAATCACAGACTCCTGGAATATTAGAGCTGGAAGGGATCTTAGAGAACATCTAGTCAACCCCTCAGAATTAACAGACTAAGATCTAACACCTTGTTAGTTATTTGACATCAACCTAAAATAAGCAAAAGACTCAGGATCCAGTTAAAAGAGTTTAAAGTACAAAGCGTGAGGGTAATCACCTGGGGAAACACGGGCACCAAAGAATGATGATTGATGCTCCCCAGTGTGGGGAAAGGTGAGGATGGTTTATACAGAAAAAACAGGTGCTGATCAGAATTACACCATTTTCTATTTAGGGTTAGCATATAGATATAAAATTTGAGGCCAGGTGCAGTGACTTATGCCTGTAATCCCAGCACTTTGGGAGACCAAGGCAGGAGGATCGATTGAGCCCAGGAGTTTGAGATCAACCTGGACAACATAGCAAAACCTTGTCTCTACAAAAAATAAAATAAATTAGCCAGGCATGATGGTGTATGCCTGTAGTCCTAGCTACTCAAGAGGTTGAGCCAGAAGGATTGTCTGAGCCCAGGAATTGAGGCTGTGGTGAGCCTTGTGATCATGACACTGCACTGTAGCCTGTGTGACAGAGTATAACCCTGATTTTAAAATAAAAAAAAAAAACCGCCGGGGCAACTTGGCGAGACCTCCTCTCTACAATAAATCAAAAAATTAACCGGGCGAGGTAGCGCGCACCTGTAGTTTCAGCTACTTGGAAGTCTGAGGCGGGAGGATTTGCACTCCAGACTGGGCAACAGAGTGAGACTCCAACTCAAAAAAAAAAAAAACAAAAGCTTTGACTAACCACTAATGATTACACTGTAAAAGGGCTGCACTTTAGCATTCAATTTAACAGTATTTTGTTTAACATTCTATTGTAAAGAGATAACAATCACAAAGATCTCTATCTCCAACGTCATATAGTTTAGGTTTGAATAAAGAATAGAAAGTCTGGTTAGTGTATAACACCTCAACACAAAGATCTGGAAGCAAGGGCCATGGACCAGAGAAGAAAAACAGTCATGTTATGTGACTCCGTTTCCAGGGCTTAAATTTCCCCCTTGGCATAATAAATGTGAAATTTTCTTTTCTTTTCACATGTCCCCCTTTTCTTCACAATCTTTCAGAGGAAGCATACAAAAGAATCATGAATTTGTATTTGATCAAATTCCACACTGCTAGGAAGGCTCATTCCTAGGAAGTCACATCCCACGGAGAGGTGGAAATTGGAAAGGACCAAGGCAAAATTATAAAGCAACAAAGGCAAAGTAGTCCTGAAACCTGACTCAGGCTGCATGCCTGTCTCTTTAATCAAAGCAATACTCTGAGAAGACATTAGAACAATGTCTTCAGTTTTACATTGACTCAGTTGTAGACAGATACCGTAACAGCACTGTTGACAAAGTCAGGATGAAACACCAACTATGATTATGATTCCTAGAATAAGTAATAGCTTTTGCCACCAAGTTCCCCAAGATGCAAACCAGCTGCTTAGCCAGTCACTTAGAGAGGGTTTTAGATCCGAAAGTTTATTTGGGTTTTTATATCAATTATCAATTTGGTGATGTTATTTGATTCATTTGGGATGTAAGCACAGCATTGTGTTTTTATGAAGCACACATTCCTCCTTGGGCCACAGCGAGTATGTCTAAGGCCATACAGTTCTGTAATACAGCATTTCTCATGAGAGTGACTTTATTATTTAATAATGAGATACTCATGTGGCTGTCATTTAGGGTCTTTTGTGTATAAGTAGGGCCTCTACATGCCAAATCATATCCTTAATACCCAGTGGTGGTCAAAGAAGCTAAATGATACCAATGAAACACAGAATGCACTGAATGAGATTGTAAATGAGGAAAATTTTCTGGTTTTGACAGAATGTGAACTATTCAATGTTGTGCTCAAGTATAACCTGGGAATATTGCCCTAACCATGCTGGGGGAACCATGGAGATAGGTTAGTGTCACACAGTCAAGATGCTCCATTTGGGGATAACCAGTCAATACCTGGTTGTTGTGTCCTATCAGTGGCATGCCTATCAGTACTTCGTAGTACAATGGTGTGGTCACACTGCGCTTCTGGTATCCATCTCATACCTCTAGTGCAGTTGGGCCATTTATCTTTGGTGTAATTTTTCTGTACCCAACATAAAGGACATGGTGATGAAACTGGCCAAAAGAGAGGGTGAGCCAAATAACCCCCCAATTTGTATTATATCATTCTGAAATCAAGTTGTTTATTGGGGCAGCATCATTGCCTTCTCTTTAGTTTGGGTTGTGCCAGAGTAAAAATTAATGAGTCCGTTTTTTCTACTGAGAAGCTCTTTCCGTGTCCCTTATTTTGTAACATATCATCAGTAGGCCAGTGTGTACACTATCCTTAGTCACAGTGGTGTTACAGATGTCAGATTGTTTTTGTAAAACAAGAACACATTTTTTATATTCTATCCAGACTTGTTCTTGGAAGTAGGATACCCATCATAGTCAACCAGAATCACTGGAAAGGGGCATGAGACTGTGTATCCAGTGTCTCCTTTTTCTTATCTTTTCTCCTTTCTTTCCTTTTCACCTCCCTCCCTCCTTTCATCTTTCTTTCCTTTCTTCCCTTTTGCTTTCTCTCTCCTTCTGCCCCTACCCCCTTTCTTTTTGAGTCAAGGTCTCACTCTGTTGCCTAGACTGGCATGCAGTGACACAATCATGGCTTACCACAGCCTCGACCTCCTGAGCTCAGGTGATTATTTCGCCTCAGCCTTCTGAGTAGCTGAGACTATAGGTATGCACCACAGCACCTGGTTAAGTTTTTGATTTTTTGTAGAGGCAAGGTCTTACTATGTTGCCCAGGCTTGTCTCCTGGGCTCAAGCGATCCTCCCACCTCAGCCCCCCAAAGTGTTGGGATTACAGGCGTGAACCACTGCACTTGGTTGAGCAAGCATCTTTTTATGATCTATCAACATAGTCTTAGGCCCATTACAAAAAAAAAGAAGTTTGCTTCATGAACAACAGCTGGTGATAGTAGTACCAAGACCTAAGAACTAAGGATAATAAGAAGGAAGTTTAGTGGGAGCTTATCAAAGAAAAAAATGTCCCATTTATTAACAATTGTTAGTATTAAATGTTTGTTTAGATACAGGCCTGGTC